TTTGATCAAGCTTTTAAAAATTATTTTAAGTGATTTTTTCCAAAAATATTTTTTCAAAAAAATACTTTTGGTGAGAAGTTGCTTTTTTCTGCTTCTCAGAAACTGCTTCTGTTTCTATTGAAAACACTTTTTTTCATCTAAAAGTTTAGCCAAACACCTCGACTTTTCAAAAAAATTTACTTTTGGCAAAAAAAAAAAAAAAAAAAAAAAAAAAAAAAACTTTTGGCCCCAAAAGAACTTGGCTAAATAGGCTATAAGAAACCAAATGTGCTATTATCCCTATATACTTAAATGTTGTCCCAGTCTTATAAAATATTGGGTTACTCTAGGGTATCAATGGTTCGGTTCGGCCGATTATTTTATAAAATTTGTACCATACCAATTTTTCGGTTATTTTATTATGTATAACCAAAATTAGACTTTCCGAAATTATCCCAATCATGTCGGTTTCTCTTCGGTATTGGTACGGTTAGGTTAATTTTCGGTATTTTTTAAAATATCATGTAAAAATTACTATTAGAAGTAGAATGCAATAACATACATATTTTTATAGAACTTCGCAAAACTCTCTAGATATTTTACTGTTTAAAGGGTGATGAATTAAGAAAACATGAAAGATGGCCATAGTATTAGATCCATCAACTATTCTACAACGGCATAAAATAAACTAAGCAAAGACAAAAAAAATATAAATCACACGAATGAAAAGATATTAACCAAGTTGGGATTCAAGAATAAAGTATATGGAATATTAAATATTCAAAAGGATAAATTTAAAACATATGAAAGGAAACATATTTAATACATTGTAGTTTGCTACTCATAAGCGCTAGAATACTTTGTGTCTTGCTAGCGAATATGCTGAAAATAATTTAGTTTTAATAGAAATAGCATAATAGTTTTGGGAATTAGGATTTTGAGTTTAATTACTCGTTGTCTTTTAACCATTTTTATAATTCCAATGCCCAAATTTTTTTAATGCTTTATTATTTTTAATATTAATATATAAATATATTTTCTACATGTAAATTTATTTGGTACGGTTCGATATTTTTTCGGTTTATTTTTACAAAATAAAAAATCTACCCTAATTATCGGTACGATTATAAATTTATATAAAAATCTAAGGTTTTATTAAAAGAAACCTAAAAATTGGTTCGGTCTAAACCTCTAACTCTAATCACGAATCTAAGGTTTTAAATAAGATGCTAATTATTTTCAGCTAAACTAAAAATGCATATATCTATTTCTGGAAGATTTTCCAAAGATCAGTATCATTCCACGTGTAAAATGTAATTAGAAGAAAAAACAATATTACGTGTTTGGAACTTTTCGTGCTGCCTTATCATGTAGAGTCAAAGTGCATGCTTATAAATATACTGTCCCACTTTTATTTATTTTTTGGAATATAACGTGACTGATACTGAATTAGCGTAAGAGACAACTTGACTTAAGGGCTCGCAAGGTCCCCTACCTTATCTGCCACATGCATTAAAATCAACACCTCAATTTATTAAATGCAATTTAATAATACCCTTTTTAGAGTCCCAATTCTACTCAAATTGCTTGATATTGTCATGTGGTGCACAACTTAGCCATCAAACTCCTGCGTAACCACGAAAATAAAAAATAAAAAATAAAAGACATTAATGTCTACTTCACTTTTTCAAGAATTGCTCAATTTGTGCAAACTTTTAGAAATCAAAAAAAGTTTGGCAAACATCTTATTAGCCGATTGTTACTTTAGAACTAAAAAAAATATCGACCCAAATTTTTCCCTTGCAAGTTTATTTTAAATTGTAATAAATAAAAAATAGTTTAAACACATAAGAGTCTTGTTAATGTCAAAAATGAAGAGCGCTGTGTGTCTTAAGACTTGATAACGTATTCCAGATTTTCTGGTTCTTTCTTTTGTCTCTTCTCAACTTGAGTAACGCTAACCGAAGTACCTAACTTGACCTTTAGGAGACAAAAAAGAATATTAAAAAATTAACAATGGAAAACAACAAACAATAAGGAATCTCAGAATTCAATTACTTAATCACCCACGTGGCACTTTTTCCGACATTCATCAGGGTTTGATTATACACTAAACTACTAAGAGAGAAAAAAAAGAAGTTAAGTTATATACAAAAAATAGTGGAAAATTTTGAGTTAAATCTATACACTGATCGTGAAAATTACCTACACAATCTAATTACTTGTAAAATAATTATATTTAATTTGATAAATAATAAACAACATGCTCTAACATATTATTAAACTAAATTACGAACATTGATATTGTAAAAGAGTGTGTCACTCCATCCATTAGAAATTTAGAATTGGCTTTGAAAGTCATCAATTAATGCATGCGACATCGCGTTAGGTAAATGTAAGGTGGTCTCTTTTGGAATTTGTGTTAGAGAAAAAACAATATACTGCCTCGATCAATGCCCAAAAGGCACGTGTTATTTATATTTGTCTCCCTCTTTACAAACAATACGATAAATAATTAGTAATATACAGCCTTTTGTTGCATCTATAAATATCTCATTTTCCTCCAAAGATCTTCTTCTCTTACGTTAGCAAAAAAAGTTCCAAAACACAGACAAAAGCAATAGTAGTATATAGATCTAGAAAAGGAGAAATGCTTCTCTTTTTAAAATCAATAAGTTTCAGATCAGTCAATCCACAAAATCAAGTATCAGATCATGACCAAGACTTGAAGAACAATAGCTGCAGGGAATTAGCTACTATTACTTCAACTTCAACGTCATGTATATCTCTAACAGTTTGGAGAAAATCACTAATTTTCAGCTGTAAAGGTTTCACAGTAATTGGATCTGATGGCAGTTTAGTGTATAGGGTTGATAATTATTCCGGCGGCCGCAATCAAATCACTCTCATGGATGGCTCTGGAAAACCCATCCTCACCGTATGTCGCCATAAGGTAATTACTTATACATCGTCGGTATAAAGAATTTATATATATATATAGTACTAGTACTACTTTATTAAGCTCATTAATTAATATAATATGTACTCGTATTCTAAGCAATGCTTTTTGGTTTTTATATATATATATATATAACAAAATAGTTTAACATTTTTCTTTGTGTAACACTTTGTTTAACTCTTTTCCAACGGGACTGGCGAACAAGAAATACCATAAGATATATAAAATCATTTTAACAAGCATAACAAATACTACTAGTATAAGTAACCATTGATTAGCTTGAGTTTTATCGTTGTTACAACTATAGTAGTATATTAGCTGTATATATATTATAGACTTGCTTTTTTTTTTCTTTTTCGTGTGTCATGAGTTGGCAAAACCCAATATAAGGCTAGTAGATAACCAGTTATATGCGACTGAGAAGGATTTTATTTCTCTTTTTTTCCCTGTAAATTAAATGACAGAGAAGGTAGTTTAACCTATTATAATATGTTGTTATCATATTTGTCAAGTTATTATATAAGCCTGATAGAAGAAGTTACATGTTGTTTATTACTGATCAATTTAACCGGAAAATTTATACTGTCAACTTAATTTGTTTTTCTTATTTTTCTAGCAGAAGCTAAGACTAGTAGACAACAATTGGTTCATATATGAAGGAGAAGTTGGGGATGATAATTACCACAGTAGTAGTAGCAAGTCTTCATCGTCAAGAAAGAAGCCTATATTCTGTGTAAAGAAACAAATGAAGATTTTACATAGTAACATCAACGTTCTTGCCCATGTTTATTATCAAGGGATGTCTGAGAAGAGATATTCTTATATTATCGAAGGGTCATATGCTAACCGATCATGCAAAGTGTTGGACGCTGAGTCAAGAAATGTTGTAGCAGAGATAAGGAAGAAGAAAGCAGTAACTGACGGTGTAACTTTTGGATTAGAGGTTTTTGTATTGGTTGTAATGCCAGGATTCGACTCTGGATTTGCCATGGGTATGGTGTTGTTGCTAGATCAAATGTTCTCCTAACTTGTTTCAACATGCATGTATAGTGTATTGTCTGACTTTTTCCGAGAGAATGTGATGTTGTATATGGTCTTGGCCATCCTCCATTCATGAAAAAACAAATTGGAGTTCGACGAAGGCCAAGGTCAATTTTCTTAATATATATTAGAGTTAGACTCATTCTTATTCTTGATTTGTTCAATATTGAGCTCATGTTATATTATCCACCTTCCAAATGTTTAAGTATGGACATACGAGTAGTTTGGGGGGCGGGGTATTAATTAATTGTTGCATTGATTGAAGAAATATTGTATTATCTCCTTATATGGTTTTGAATAATCTTCATCTCATGAAATGGCTCTTAAGGTTAAGGTAGGTTAAAGACTTATTTTCTTAAATTGTCTTATCCATCGGTCCAATGCACTGGGCTCATCTCAGAGGACGATAATTCTCTAACCGGGCTCTTAGTGGAACTTCTTCCCGATCCTATAAAAACATCCAGCAGGAATCGAACCTACGAATTTGCCCAAGTGGGCTTATTCAATTTCTGAAGTTAGATTGAAGATTGAGAAAGCCGGCCAGTAGTGCCTTTAGCGAATGCGTTCACGAGGCCGGTCCCCGGTGGCTAAGAAGCTTGATCACTTTGTTGAATAAAGCAAGTTGACGTGATGATCGAATCTGGGTGAAGTGTCGCTACTTGGCCCAGCGTTATCGAGAAAAGGTTTTGTTTCCTTAGTCTTTCTTGTGCACTTTTTTTAGTCTACTTAGTCTATCTGAGTGGGCTTGGTTGGCAGGGTCAGGGTCTTTCGCATTCTTATCTAAAAAAGAGTAAGAGGGCGGTTCCCTCAATTGTGGCATCGCCTTCATCATCNGGGGGAGACCAAAAAAAGGAGAGTAGATTGGCTGGTTTTTCCAGTCAAGTATAGTTGATAATCCCATTTTCTAATATGAATTTGAATAGATTCTCTTTATTATTATAAATATAGCTTTTTTATCTTCCACCTTATCTCCACAGCTTTGGGCGACCCCTTCCCCTTCCTCTTTTTTTTCGTTTCAAGCATGGACCTTAACTTAGCGAACTGGCTTAGTAAAGTAGAAATCATTAGCTGTCAACTGTTCATAGTCAGCAGTGGAAGAGGGCGTAGCTTTGATTGCTCAAGTTGCCCTCTCATGGTTGAATGTGAAAAAGAATTGCTTTTGTTTAGCAACAGTCTTATAAGGATGATGCTTCCCCTGTGCCTTATCAATAATTAATAAGGAAGACCGGGCTAAAGGTAACTACTTTTTGCTCACCCGGTGAAAGGCATAGTAGGTAAAAAGGCTATTGGTTGCTTTACTTCCTTACCTCGGGTAGGTTGAAAAAGCTGCTAAGAAGAAAAGTTTTCTTTTCTCTTGCGACCTTCCACGCCAAGGAGGGTTGAAGGGATCGATCCCAATAGCCTTTCACGAGGGGAAAGACCCATTCTTTATAGCCGTTACGAAAGCTCCCGAAGAGAAAGAGGTCTTTGCTGCTTGACTGCGTGAACCAGGTCCTCAATCTCATGCGGATCTAGTTTTTAAATTTAAGTTAGCGATCACGGTAGCTAAAACTGCAGCCTTTGAGTGCTTGTATGAGGAACTTGGGGCAGAGGCGGTGATAAGAAATTGTTCAGGTTAGCCAATGCGAGGAAGAAGAAGGCTCGAGACCTGGACCAAGTGAGGTGCATCAAAGACGAAGAAGGCAAGGTGTTGTTGGAAGAGGCGAGTATTAGGCGCATGTGGCAGACATACTTCCATAGACTCCTGAATGAGGATGGGGACAGGAGCATTGTGCCCGAGGAGTTGGAGAACTCAGAAAGCCAGCGAGATTTCAGGTTTTGTAGGCGTATTGAGATTGAGGAAGTTGAGGAAGCTATGCAGAAGATGAGTAGGGGTAGGTCGACCGGACCAGACGAGATTCCGATAGAATTTTGGAAGGACGTAGGCCGAGCAGGCTTGGAGTGGCTGACTGGATTATTTAATGTCATTTTTAGGACGAAGCAGATGCCAGAAAAATGGATGTGGAGTGTGATGGTCCCACTGTACAAGAACAAGGGTGATGTCCAGAATTGCACCAACTATAGGGGTATCAAGCTGCTGAGTCACACCATTAAAATTTGGAAGAGGGTAGTGGAGAGGAGGGTGAGAAGGAGTGTGTCTATTTCGGAGAATCAGTTCGGATTAATGCCGGGGCGATCGACTACAAAAGCCATTCATATTGTGAGGAGGTTGATGGAGCAATATAGGGAGAGGAAGAAGGACTTACATATGATGTTCATTGACTTAGAAAAAGCCTACAACAAAGTCCCTAGGGAGGTTCTATGGAGAAGTTTGGTGGTTAGCGGCGTTCCGGTAGCGTTCATTAGGGTGATTAAGGATATGTACAATGAATCTAAGATTCGGGTGAGGACCATGGGAGGGGATTCAGGTTATTTTTCAGTGATGATGGGATTGCATCAGGGATCAACTCTTAGCCCATTTTTATTTTCCCTAGCGATGGATGTGCTAACGCGTAACATCCAGGGGGAAGTGTCATGGTGTATGTTATTTGCAGATGATATAGTGCTTATTAACGAGACGCGCGACGGGGTTAATGCTAAGCTGGAGGTGTGGCGAAAGACCCTGGAGTCTAAATGTTTCAAGTTGAGCAGGACAAAAATAGAATACTTGGAGTGTAAGTTCAGTGTTGGGACACATGAAGCTGAAGTGGATGTGAAGCTTGATACCCAAGTCATCCCCAAGAGAGATAGTTTCAAATCTCTTGGGTCTATTATATAGAATAACAGGGAGATTGACTAGGATGTCACACACCGTATAGGAGCGGGGTGGTTGAAATGGAGGCTTGCTTCTGGTATTTTGTGCGACAGAAATGTGTCACCTAGACTTAAGGGCAAGTTTTACAAAGCGATAGTTAGACTGGCCATGTTGTATGGAACTTAATATTGGCCAGTCAAGAAATCTCATGCCCAGAAGATGAAAGTAGCAGAAATGAGGATGTAGCGATGGATGTGTGGGCATACTAGAAAAGATAAGATTAGGAATGAATATATTAGGGACAAAGTGGGTGTGTCTCCTGTGGAGGAAAAGTTAAGGGAATCGAGGTTGAGATGGTTTGATCATGTGAAGAGGAGAGATGTTGATGCCCCGGTTAGGAGGTGCGAGAGGTTACCCGTGGCGAGTCAGAGGAGGGGTAGAGGGAGGCCTAAGAAGAACTTAGGTGAGGTGATTAGGCAGGACATGGCTTAGATCCAACTTACCGAGGACATGACCCTAGATAGAAAGGCGTGGAGATCGAAAATTAGGGTGGTGAGTTGATAGACAGTCTAGAGTTTGCCTTGTCTTACCAGTAGCAGTAGCAGTACTAGTCGAGTACCTTCCTATTCCTACTCCCTTGTTTCTATACGGTATTTCAGTATTAGCAATAGGATTGGCACTATTCTTGTAGTTTTATATCCCTGGATCTATGTCATTATTTGTTGTATTATTTGCTTATAGTGTCTTATTACATTGTTGTTGCTACTGTTTCTCTATTGCTCCTTTTTTTAATACATTTTTTAGCCGGGGGTCTTTCGGAAACAACCTCTTTACCTTCATAGGTAGGGGTAAGGTTTGTGTACACACTACCCTCCCAGACCCCACTTGTGCGATTCCACTGAGTTGTTGTTGTTGTTGTTGTTGTGTGATGTCATGGGCGGCTTTCCGGCCATGCCCCATGACCCCTTGGACGTGCCACCTCTATAGGTAGCCCCATGGTCTTGACCGCACCAAGGGACAAAGTGTGCCTGTGCCTATGTCGCCCCATCAATAGCCTTCGCCATCGCCAAGCAGTAGGCAAATACCAATAGTTCCCCTCGGCAGATCGCGCCCAGTGCGAGCCCGTTGTCAGCGCAATCTACCCATGCCCTATGATCAATGTTGCGCGCAGACCCTGATACTAAATGCAAGGTTGTGGCCCCTTCAAGTATCGTCAATGGATCTGCTTTTACCTTATAAGAATCTAGGTCTCTTTTGATGTAAATATAGAGTAGTTTTACTTTCTGTATTTTCGTTATAATTCTCTAGCTTATTTATGTCTAGTCCTATAACTTTGATTTTCTTTTTAAGCATTATTGGGGGTCAAGTAGTCAAAATTTCAAGCAAGCAAATAATTTTCTATATTGGTATCTCTCCTCCTCGACACCGTGTTGTCCTTTTGTAATAGCTTTCATTAATGTAGTCGAGTTTTCTTTCATTCTCATTTTCTTTTTTGTTCTCTCAATTGCTCTTGAAATCGGTTTTCCTGTACGACACTCACAGTCTTGTCTTCCATACGGAGGGAACCCCAGTTGACGGATAATAACTGTACGGACATCGGTTGCTTAGCCTTATATCGCCCTTCCAAGATATCTCAGGAAGGCATCACGTAACAGTTGGTATCAAATCCAGGTACGACATCGGACGAGCGAACATACTTCCATTGCTACCATTTCTGATCTTGTTGAATCATGGAGACCGCATTGCAGCACTTGAAGAGACTGTTAACGTATTACGACCCATAGCGAGTATGGTGGCCGATCTAAGAACCAGCCTAGTGTAGAGGTTGGACGACCTAGATCGTAGGATGCGGCAGAACGAAGGAGACATTGTAAATATCAGCCGCGACTCTGAAGGACTGGCAAACGGCAGCTACAGTGGCAGCCAAAATTTTCAGTAAATTCAAGGGGTTCCATGTAAGAAAAAGACCCATGCCCAACCTCCAAGAAAAGGAAAACAGAAGCAGATAAGGGGCCTCATCTTAACCAAGAGAAGACCCTAATGCTCTTCAAGATGAGAGTTAATGGTAATCCCATTTGGGCGATGATAGACACAGACGCTACTCACAATTACTTAGTCTCCACTGAGGTAGAGTGCCTCGGTCTAGTCGTAGGAAAGGGTAGAGGTCGTATCAAGGCTATCAACTCACCGCCTCCGCTAATGGGTAGAACAGCCAAAGGAGTACCGGTGAAGCTGGGTCCTTATGAAGGAAAATTCGACTTACGTGTGGTGATCATAGATGACTTTGAACTAATAGCTGGATTGAAATTCATGAGGCAAACCGACACCATTCATGTACCTTATGTAGACATGCTGATGATGATGGAAGCAAAAGGGGTAAGCAACCATTAATATAGGAAATCTCCTTATTTTTAGCTTTTTATTCCTAGCAATAATTTTGATTGTGGTATAAATGGAATAACATGTAAAAAAATTTAGTTGCACAATTTGTAATATCTAAATTAGTTGTAGTTTGTAAAATAAACTCTAATAGGTCTTGTATTTATGAAAGTTTCCCAACCCCCACACCGTGCCCCCAATATACATCACTATTGCCATCACTAATTCTCATTTTTCAACCTTAATTTTTACAAGTCCTTTTCCAGTTTTTCAGTAAACAAACTTAGTAATAATAATACTCAAAGACATGTGCTTCAAAAAATAAATGATAGATCCAAGCAATAAAATACCCAAAAAAAAAAGGAACCAAATCATCATGCTCTGAATCACAAAATGAAATTTGAAGAAATAACAGTGATTTTTTTTTTAAAAAATACTCTTCGAGAAGAACACATGCACATAACAGTGCACTTTTCAGTTCTTAAAGAGCAAACATACTTGACGCCATGGACCTTACGTAGTCAAACATTCTCAAGCATTTAAGAAAACTCGTCGTAATGTACGCGTATTATGCGTGTAACAAGTATTAATAAGAATAAGTTTTTTCAAAAAATAACTTAAATAATATTCAAAAGATACAAGTTTCAAAGTGATAAATATTAATCATGTTTAGAGGTTTGGATCCATACTCTAATTTATCTAATTTGTTCTCATACTTATTTCATTGTACAAAAATATTTATCCGAGCACTTGCACAGGAGTACCCGCATTGCATATGTTCCTTGTTAATTATGATAATATCCGTATATGTTAGTGTATACGGTCGAAATTGGGCTTGGTTACTGCATGACAGATCGTACTCGGAACGCGCGATGGGTTGAAGATCGACTCCGAGTCTCGTCGAACCAGAACACGAGGTCAGAATGTCAGTTCTCGAGAACATTGAATCCATGATCCCGGAATCGATCCTGACCACGAGTAAGATCGAGGAAACATTGCCGGTATAACTAACAGAAGACCGAAATAATGGCAGGCCGAAATATCCGTAACCGGTCAGATATCACGGCGGAAATCTCGGCACATATCAATAGGGGACCGGCAAATCAGCAAACCAGGAGATTTTTTTCTTTTATAGAATTGTACCTGAAATAGGACTCCCCTACTATATAAAGGGGGTCTAATTACTTGTAAAGCACATTGTAACATGTATCCCAAAGCAATATATTATTATTCTCGTCAAGTTCTTGTTACTCTCTTATTGTTTCTGTTCTGATATCAATAAAAGTATCTTTGGCTCGAGGGCGGCAAACCTTCCTAGGCTAAAATTGTTCAACTTGTGTGGTTAGCATTTACTTTTCCATTACCTATTTCAATTGCAATCTGATTTGTCGTCTTGAATCAAATTAAATCATATATCCTTAAAATCACTTATAAATTCAATTATTATCCGATTTTAAGGGTAAATAGTTTGGCGCGCACCGGAGGGCTAAGGATATAGTGGTTATTTGATATGAATCTCCATAACACACACTACTTTACATTTGTTCTTTGAAGTGTCTCTGATTACAGTATAAAACAAAAAATGTCAAACTCTCAATCAGTACCCCTATATGTTGACAATGAGTCCGGTCACCACAGTGAAAATAATAACATAGCGCCCGGTGAAGGAATACCGCCCGTTGATCCCATCGGAATTCTGATCGCAGATCCGATTGATGCTAATTCACATGTGGCTATCGACACAAACTTGCCTACCGACCCCGAGAATAACATCCGTGGTGGAGCCCGATCGACAACTCGAAACACATAATTATACATTGAAGGAGACGGGATCAGTCTACGAGTGATCTTCGAAATGCTGCAGGCTCAACAAGCGGTGATAGCTCAGTTACAGAACCAAAGCCGTTCACCGAGCAGGGTTGAGTCCGATCCACCCCGGGAAGTCGCCCGCAGGGATGAACTGGTCATAGAAAGGTAAAATGAACATGAATCAGGGGCTAACCCCGAGATCATAAAGATGCTCGAGGAGCTGACAAAACGGATAGAATAAGGGGAGAAGAAAATCGAAGCAAATGATGCATGCCCGAAATTGCTAAGTATAACAGAATGACCGACCCAAATGAGTATGTAACCTCTTACACATGTGCCATCAAAGGGAACAACTTGGAGGATGATGAGATCGAGTATGTCCTATTGAAGAAGTTCGGAGAAACCCTATCAAAAGGGGCTATGATACGATATCATAACTTACCTCCCAATTCTATTGATTCATTTGCTATGCTTGTTGATTCTTTCATGAAAGCACACACCGGGGCCATCAAGGTCGAGACCAGAAAATCGAACCTTTTTAAAGTAAAACAGAAGGATAACGAGATGCTCAGAGAGTTCGTGTCCCATTTTGAAATGGAACGAATGGATCTGCCACCGGTCCGTGATGATTGGGATGTTCAGGCATTCATTCAAGGGCACAATGTTCGAAGCTCGGTGGCTTTGCATCAGTTGAAACAAAACCTGATAGAATATCCGGCCGTTACTTAGGCCGACGTGCATAACCGGTGTTAATCAAAGATCATAGTGGAAGATGATCAACTCGAGGCCCCTTCGGGGTCTGTTTATCCCGTCAGAACCCTCGACAGAGTCAAGATAGACATTGATCGTGAACTGAGCCCAAACAGGGATCGATATCAGCCATATAATGGAGACCGAAGAAGCAGTGGGTCCGGACGGAACTCCATGAGAAACGAAAGGAGAAATGACTGAAGTCAGATCAACCGGGGAATCATGACAAAAAACGGCTTCGACAGGTCCATCGGTCTTAAAGAAGAACCGAGGCTATCGGAATACAACTTTAATGTCGATGTTGCCGCCATTGTATCAGCTATCGGGAAAATCAAAGATACCAAATGGCCTTGACCTCTATAATCCAATCCACCCCAACGGGATCCTAACCAGATGTGCAAATATCATGGCACTCACGGTCACAGAACAAAAGATTGTCGACAATTTAGAGAGGAAGTAACTCGACTATACAATAATGGGCATCTTCGAGAATTCTTGAGCGGCCGAGCTAAGAATCATTTCAGAAACAGGGATGCTAACAAACATATAGAACAAGAGTAACCTCAACACGTCATTAACATGATCATCGGTGGGGTCGATATCCCTCAGAGGCTGATGTTGAAACGCACCAAAGTATCCATCACTAGGGAGAAATGAACTCGAGACTACATACCGAAAGGAACTTTATCTTTCAACGACAAGGACGTGAAAGGGATTGTACAGCTCCACAATGATGCACTGGTAATATATGTACTCGTAAATAGAATTCGAGTTAAACGTGTGTTAATTGATCCAGGTAGCTCGGCTAAGATCATCCGATCGAGGGTCGTGAAGCAGCTCGGTCTACAAGACCAAATCGTGCCTGCAATCGCAGTTCTAGACGGATTCAACATGGCATGTGAAACCACTAATGGTGAGATAATATTATCATTGAACACTGTCGGGACCATACAAGAATCTAAGTTTTATGTAATCGAAGGAGACATGAGGTACAACGCTTTGTTCGGAAGGCCATGAATCTACAACATGAGGGCAGTACCCTCAACTCTGCACCAAGTGTTAAAATTACCAAAACCAGGTGGAATTAAAACGGTCTACGGAGAACAGTCATACGCAAAGGAGATGTTTGCAGTTGAAGAGGAGATTTTGATACCCGCACTTACAATGACAAAGGGGTCGAGTTCGGTCACAAAGCCAAAAACTAAATAGCAATTACCGACACTAGCTCCGACCCAACCAGAAAATAGGGGACTGATGAAGATGATGATTACTGGGTACTCAGGTCTTTTATAGCCCCCGATGATTTCGACGCCATTAAATCGATGGTCAAGGAGCTGGAACAGGTCATATTGGTCGAGCATCTACCCGATCGACAGGTATACCTGGGCACGGGGCTAAATCTCGAGCTCAGGAAAAAACTCATTCAGTTTTTTATGACTAACAAAGACTGTTTGGCTTGGTCCCACCTTGATATGACAGGGATCCCACCAGAGATAACCACTCACAAGCTGAGCTTGGACCCGAAGTTTCATCCGGTCAAGCAAAAAAGGAGACCCCAGTCAGAGGTCAAACTTGATTTCATCAAGGACGAGGTATCTAAACTCCTTAAAATAGGGTCCATTCGGGAGGTTAAATACCCGGATTGGTTAGCAAATGTAGTAGTAATCCTTAAAAAAGGGAATAAATTGAGAATGTGTGTAGACTATAAGGATTTGAATAAGGCATGTCCCAAGGATTCTTTCCCTTTGCCCAACATCGATCGAATGATCGATGCCACGACCGGCCACGAGATCCTCAGTTTTCTCGATGCCTACTCTGGGTACAACTAAATATGGATGAACTCGGGTGATCAGGAAAAAACCTCCTTCATCACTAAATACGGCACATACTGCTATAACGTGATGCCATTCGGTTTAAAGAACGCCGGCGCCACTTACCAACGCCTAGTAAATAGGATGTTCAAGGAACAAATAGGAAAATCAATGGAGGTTTACATTGACGATATGTTAGTTAAGTCCCTGCGAGCAGAGGACCATTTAAAACATTTGCAGGAAACCTTCAGCATATTAAAGAAATACAATATGAAGCAGAACCCGGAGAAATACGCTTTTGGAGTTGGATCAGGTAAATTCCTCTGGTTCATGGTATCCAACCGAGGAATCGAGATCAACCCCGACAAAATCAAAGCCATCGAAGACATCACGGTTGTGGACAACGTGAAGGTCGTGCAAAGATTAACCGGGTGCATAGCCGCCCTGGGGTGATTCATTTCGAGGTCATCCAATAAGAGCCATCGATTCTTCGCACTATTGAAGAACAAGATTAACTTCTCATGGACCCCAGAATGCCAATGAGCTTTGGAGGAATTCGAACGTTACTTATCGAGCCCACCGCTTCTTCACATTTCGAAGGCAGATGAACAACTATACTTGTACTTGACAGTTTCGGAGATAGCGGTAAGTGGAGTCCTGGTCCAGGAAGAGCAAGGTACGCAATTTCCAATTTACTATGTTAGCAGGACCCTAGGTGAGGCCGAAACTAGGTATCCTTACCTAGAAAAACTGGCGCTCGCTTTGCTAAGCACCTCTAGGAAACTAAAACCATACTTCTAGTGTCACCCCATATGTGTCGTAACTACTTACCCATTGATAAACGTTATGCATAAGCCCGAGCTCTCGGGTTGGTTGGCCAAATGGCCGTGGAAATCAGTGGGTACGATATTGAGTATCGACCCTGAACCACCATTAAGTCTCAAATTTTGGCTGACTTTGTAGCCGATTTTACGCCGGCCCTAATACCCGAGGTCGAAAGAGAGTTATTATTCAACTCAGGGATCTCCTCGGGAATTTGGACCCTCTTTACGGACGGTGCCTCGAACGCAAAAGGGTCCGGATTTGGCATCGTATTGAAGCCACCAGCAGGAAATGTACTTAGGCAATCTATTAGGACTGTGAAATTGACTAACAAATGAGGCCGAATATGAGGCCATGATTGCAGATCTCGAACTAGCCAAAAGCTTGGGGGTAGAGATAATTGAAGCTAAGTGCGACTGCCTCCTTGTGATAAAGCAAGTTAATGGGACGTTCTACGTCAGAGAAGAACGAATGCAAAGGTACTTGGATAAATTGCAGGTAACATTACATCGATTCAAAGAATGGACTTTGCAACACATACCTCGGGATCAAAACAGTGAGGCCGATGCCCTCGCTAACCTAGGGTCATCGGTCGAGGATGACGAATTCAACTCGGGGTCAGTCATTCAACTTATGAGATCGGTAGTGGAAGATGGTCATGTCGATATTAACTCAACGAGCCTAATTTGGGATTGGATAAACAAATATATAGAATACCTGAAGACCGGAAAACTGTCATCGGATCCAAAGGAATCGAGGGCCCTACGTACAAAGGCAGCCTAGTTTAGCCTATCCGAAGACGGAACCCTGTTCAGAAGGGCGTTCGATGGACCACTCGCGATATGTCTAGGACTAGGGGACACCAAATACATTTTGAGGTAAATCCATGAAGGCATATATGGAAATCATTCAGGCGCCGAATCACTGGTTCATAATGTTATTAGAGCCGGCTATTACTGGATCGATATGGAAAAGGACGCAAAGGAGTTCGTACAAAAATGTGATGAATGTCTAAGTCACTTTCTAATGATTCATCAGCCCGGGGAATTGCTGCATTCGGTCTTGTCACCATGGACGTTCATGAAATGGGGAATGGATATTGTCGGCCCCCTTTTATGGGCACCTGGTAAGGCTCAATTTATATTGTTTATGACTGACTATTTTTCTAAATGGGTGGAAGCCCAGGCGTACGAGAAGGTCAGGGAGAAGGAAGTCATCGATTTCATTTGGGACCACATCATATGCCGGTTCGGAATGCCGGTCGAGATTGTATGCGATAATGGTAAACAATTCATCGGCAGCAAAGTAACCAAATTTCTTGAAGATCACAAGATCAAAAGGATCTGATCAACACCCTATCACCCTAGTGGGAACAGACAAGCTGAATCTACCAACAAAACCATACTCCAAAACCTTAAAAAGAGGTTAACCGGTGCCAAAAGAAAATGGAAGGAAATCCTACCCGAAGTCCTATGGGCATATCGTACGACCTCGAAGTCCAGTACTGGGGCCACCCTATTTTCATCGGTTTATGGCGTCGAAGCTCTAATACCGATCGAAATTGGAGAACCAAGTATCAGATTCTGATATGCAACAAAGGAATCAAATGACGAAGCCATGAGTTCGAGCCTGGAGCTATTAGATGAAAGGCGCGAAGCCGCCCTTGTCCGGTTGGCCGCCCAAAAATAGCGGATCGAAAGGTATTACAATCGAAAGGCCAACCTTCGACACTTTAATACCGGGGACTTAATACTAATAAAGGTCACGCTGAGCGCCCGAAACCCGAACGAAGGGAAATTGGGACCGAACTGGGAAGAACCGTATCAAATTATCGAGATCACAGGAAAGAGATCCTACAAACTCGGAACAATGAACGGCGAGCAATTACCGAACAACTGGAATATAACTCACTTGAAACAATATTATTGCTAAGGTATGACCCCGTCCTTTCTCTTATTTACATTCTAAACTAACGCTTGCAGGTAACCGACAAGGAACAATACAACATTTTAGGCCTGAAAGCACGCGTTGCACTCTTTTTCCCTTGAACCGATTTTGTCCCAAATGGGTTTTCCGACAAGGTTTTTAACGAGGCAATAAGTAAATCGTGCTAACATAGAATTGAAGGACGGGTCCAAACCAGTGACGAAGATCACAACAGCATTTGAGGCCTCTCTTCGATCAGCCCCGATTGGGGGGCATCACCCTCGGATATCGACTTTACCAAGGAAAGAAACTTCATGATTGAAGGGTCTCAATCGATAGGATTTATTGTAAGGGCCAAACGGTCAAATGAACCGTGCCCGCATAGATTGCTCAAGCCCTGGCACAAAGCATGTACACATGTATAACTATTATGCACAAGAATAAAGAGAAGTCTCTTCCTTGCGCATAAACATCTTGTCCTTTAAAACTTTTCTTGCATTTCTCAAGGAATTTCCTACATCCGATCCCCTAAAGGTATCGAGCCAAAGGCTACCTTAATCCGAGTTCGAATAATCACTCTCACTCGGGTACTTCCGTCCGAAAACAAACTCGGATGGTCCGAGTTATCAGACCTCGGGGGCATAAGACCTATTAGGCAATGCCTGAATTTTAAAGACCACGGCCATCCCCACTTGGGGACTGTTATCTAGGGCAAGCTCGGATAACTCAGGATATCAAGCCCACCCGGGCAACACCCGAACTAAAAAGCTACGGCTATATTAGCGTGGCTCGGAGACGTCTGAGACATGTAACAAAAAAAACAAGGCCTTAAAATTATTTAACCGGTTCTAAAGGCTACCCTCGGTAAACTATAACCTCAAAAAGTCTAAGTACTTTGGGGGAAATTTTTTTCGGTCACACCGAACCCCCACGATGCCCAAGAATAAGATAAATGTTGAAGGCAAGGTTTGTTCGAACCTCTGAACGTAATCTAACTATTTCATGCTAAGGCATTTCGATCTTTGCATAAATAAGTAATAAAGTAGAGGGAAGATTCAAAAGTCGTTGAAGGTAAAAATCCTTATATACATATCAAAAATTCTTTTTACAAGGGCCAAACAACCCTAATACAATTTTTACAAAGGCCAAATGGCCTCGACAAAAGGGTAATACGAAAAGCAAAAAACAAAAACATCTGAAAAGAGCCTAAGTGGCCTAGTCTTCGCCGGGAGCCACATCATCACCTTCGGGGTCCACGTCTTCCTCGGACTCGCCCAAATCCTCAGAACTTTCAGCATCTTCGGGAAAGGCCAGTTTTTTTGCCTCGGCTTCAAGCTCTTTGGCATTCTCAATCTCAGCCGATAAGTCAACACCCCGAGCATGAATTTCCTCAAGGTCCTCCCTTCGAGATTGCCATTTCGCGTGCTCGATGATATCCTTTGCTCGAACCTGAGCCACCTCAGCATCGGCCTTATAAACGACCACCATCTCGTCGGCGTCGACTTTAACTACCTTGGCCTCCGACTTGGCCTTCTCGAGCTCTTTGTCTAGGCTTTCTCGATCGAAAACAACTGAATTTAGCTGAGATTGAAGCTCCTCGATCATTTTGGCCTGCGCCAAGGACATTTCCTTCGCAGCTCGAAGCTGGGCCTCAGCCGAAGCCAGCTGTGCTAGGGCAGCCTCCTTTTCCGAGGCCAAGCAGTCCATGTTTCTTTTCCATTCTTCGGCCTCGGCCTTTACCGCATCCACCTCCGCCTGGAGTTGATCAATCTGATCAAGTTTCTTTTGGACATGCGGGTACGGACCATTAGCCACCTTATCTGACTCATCATCACTAACCTTAAATACTCTTCTTACCTGCTCAACCAGGTCAGCATGCTCCTTTCGAGCTGCCTCTAGTTCAGCCTGGAGTTTCTCACTAAGAAGTTTGTAAGCATCCCTCTTCTCAGTGAGCTCTCGAGACTCGGCCTCATGATGATTTAACTCTTCCCGATATCGAAGAAACATCTCATGATGAAGCACCAAGGCTTGCAAGCACAAAGAAAAAAGTTACAATTATTTACGACTTATTCTAAGTATATAATAGAGGTCGTCAAGAGGCATCCAAAATTACCCGATTTAACGCCTGTTGTGCTTCGTTGAACAGGCAGGGAACTTCCACCGCGTTCATCTTTGCTTGATCCTCTTCGGTCACCAGACACAAAAGATAACAGAAAATCTCTATGAGAGCCGAAAGGACCTGGGCATCCTCCGGAATATACATGATGACCGACCGCTTTCGGTCAGAATTCACGCTCGAAGCTGGGAACCAGTTGACTAGTTTTGGACTTGAAGAAGGCCTGCTGGTCCCCGAAGACGGGCTCTCCCTTGGCACTGGTAAGTCACCCAACCCGGTGACGTCCTCCGTGGCGGTAGTCTAGGTCGTCAAAAAAGTTGTGAAAGGGGTCTGCTGCCCCTTGGGGCCCTGCGTTGATGTGATGACCCAAAATGTCATCTTTAAATTTAATAAGTAATTCTATATTCTAAGACCTCGAAAAGCACTATTTATCATTCCTCGACTTATGTGCGCAGTCCATATAATTTTCGAAAAAGTTTTTGTGTGAAAAAATAGATTAAAATATAAAATAGAGCTTTAAAACTCAACTGAGTTCACTTTGGTCAATATTTAACGGACTCAGATTAGTGTTTTGACAATTCCAGTAGGTCCGTATCGTGATCTGGGACTTGGACGTATGCCCGGAATTGAATTCTGAGGTCCCTAGCCCGAGATATGGAATTTTGATGAAATATTAAAAGTTTGAAAGATTAATGATTTTTAAGAATTTACTGATGTTGGATTTATTGACACCGGGTCCGTATTTTGGTTTCGGAGCCCGGTATAGGACCTCTATAATATTTATGACTTGTCTGCCGAATTTGGTGAGAATCGGAGTTGATTTGACATGATTCAGACTTCCGGTTGTAAAATTATAAGTTTTAAAGTTTTCTTGAAAACTTCCTTTGATTTGGTGTCCGATTCGCAGTTCTAGGTGTTATTTTGCCGATTTGATTGCGCGAGCAAGTTCGTATGATGTTTTAGGACTCGGGTGCATATTTGGTTTGGAGCCTCGAGGGTTCGGGTTGGTTTCGGGTGGTTAACAGATCACTTTTGGACTTGAGTAAACTGCAGAAACCTGCTTATGGCTTCCTTCTTCGCGTTCGCGAGGCGTGTCTCCCTTCGCGAAGAGCAAATTGGGGCTGGCATATTTTGTGCTTCATGTTTGCGACAGAGTGAACGCGTTCGTGAAGGCTTGAGGTGTGAAGCTTCACGTTCGCGATCGAAGCCTCGCGTTCGCGAAGGGAAAGCGGCTGGACAGGAAAATTGCCTTCGCATTCGCGAAGGCAAAGCCATGCAAGCTTCGCGTTCGCAAAGTAGCCTTCGCATTTGCGAAGAGTAAAATTGGTCAACAGGAATTTGTGCTTCGCGAACGCGAGGCACTGACCGCGTTCGCGAAGCGTAAAAGTTCCAGAAATAGAACTTAAATTCTGGAAAATGGGATTCGTCCCATTTTCAACCCTTTTCCATTTTTAAGCTCGGGTAAGGCGAGTTTTGGGAGATTTTTACGGAAAAATATTGGGGTAAGTGTTCTTTATCCTATATTGATTATATTTCATGATTTCATACTCACTTACATCATGGATCCGTGAATTTATGGAAGAAAAATCAGATTTTTTTAAAATCTTCCAAAAACAAAAATTTAAGATTTGAAGGTCCATTTGACATCGGAATTGGATAATTTTTGTATGGTTGGACTCATCTTGGAATGAGTGTTCGAATTTCGTAAGTTTTTTCAAGATTTGAGACGTGGGTCCCACTGTTGAATATTTAAATAAATTTCGGATTTTTATCCGGAAAATTAGTAAATTCATATGGAATTAATTCCTATGATTCGTATTCAGTATATCGAATTTTTTGTGAATAGATTTGAAGCTTTTGGAGACAAATTCAAAAGGAAAAGATGTGGTCGAATAATTTATTGGAATTTGCAAAGCGAGGTAAGTGTCGTGGTTAACCTTGACTTGAGAGAATAGAACCCTTAAACTATTTGTTATGTGAAATGCATGTGAACGACACATAGGTGAGGTGACGAGTATCTATACGTCGTCAAATTAATTTTTTGCGTATTTACTTGAAAAATCATAAATTATTTTAATCATGAATTAATTGTTATAATAATTATTTCTTTCCTATTCTTTGACAAATATTAATTCTTGAATTCCTGCAATAATTATTACATGCTATTTGATTTATGTGTATTAATTTCTACTTGACAATTAGCATATTTAACATTAAACTGTCTATATTCTCCCTGATTTCCTAAATATATTGTTATTTGTCATTGTTTGTTTCATAATTAAATCATAATTATTGTATGCTTGTTGTCTTAAAACCTTTATATTAATTGTTGCATTCATTGGGGTAATTTCTTCTATAAGAATTGGTAAATAAATATATTGGAGGAGCGGGTTGTACGCCGCAACAAAATTGATTGAAATGAATATATTGGAGGATCGGGTTGCACGCCGCAATTGACTTATTAAAATTCCATATTGGAGGATCGGGTTGCACGCCGCAACAGACTTATTAAAAAATCGATATATATATATATATATATATATATATAAGTCTGTAATTAAGAAAATAGGCAGTTAATATTTAGTATGCTAAATGTCAAATAACAATTAAGACGCATAAATCAGATAGCATGTAACAATTATTGCAGGAATTCAAGAATTAATATTTGACAAAGAATAGGAGAGAAATAATTATTATAACAATTAATTCATGATTTAAAACGATTTATGATTTTTCAAGTAATTATGCAAACAATTAATTTGACGACGTATAGACACTCGTCACCTCGCCTATACGTCTTTCACATGCATTTCACATAACAAATAGTTTAAGGGTTCTATTACCTCAAGTCAAGGTTAACCATGACGCTTACCTCGCTTTATAAATTCCAATCAATTACTCGACCACAGTTTTTCCTTTTAAATTTATCTCCAAAAGTTTCAAATCTATTCACAAATAATTCGATATACTCAATACGAATCATAGGAATTAATTCCATATGAATTTACTAATTTTTTGGATAAAAATCTGAAATTCACTTTAAAGATTGACAGTGGGGCCCACGTCTCTATTCTCGAAAAAATTTACGAAATCCGAACACCCGTTCCGATACGTGTTCAACCATACAAAATTTATCCAATTTCGATGTCAAATGGACCTTCAAATCTTAAATTTTTATTTTTGGAAGATTTGATAAAAATCTGATTTTTCTTTCAAACTTTCACGGATTCATGATATAAATGAGTATGGAATCATGAAATATAATCAATATATGATAAGGAACACTTACCCCAATATTTTTCCGTAAAAATCGCCCAAGAATCGCCTTACCCGAGCTCAAAAATGAAAAATGGTTGAAAATGGGACGAATCCCATTTTCCAGAACTTAAGTTCTGTTTCTTGGATTTTTACCTTATGCGATCGCGTACAATGCTTCGCGATCGCGAAGCGCATTTTTGGCTGCCCAGCTTTTTACTCTATGCGAACGCGGAAGGGCTTATGTGAAGCACAACTTCTCAGCCTTCCGCGATCGCGGACCACCTTGTGCGATCGCATAGCACAAATTTTGTGCTTCAGGTTCTGCCTTATTCCTTCTACGCGAACGTGGCTTGGCCCTCGCGTTCGCGGTGATTTGCATGTTGTCACTGTGCGATCGTGAACCTCGCTATATGATCGCATAGTACAAATTTCATCAGTGACCATTAAGCCTTCGCGATCGCGGACACAATCACGCGTCGCATAGAAAGAAACCAGTAGCAGCAGGTTCAGCAGTTTCATGGTTCCAAAATGCACCGATCCTGATCCGAATTACACCCAAGCCCTCGGGGTTCCAAACCATATATGCACACAAGTCCTAAAATATTATACGAACTTGCTCGCACGATCAGATCGCCAAAATAACACCTAGAACTACGAATCAGATACCAAATCAAAGGAAATTTTCAAGAAAATTTTAAAACTTATATTTTTGCAACCGGACGTCCGAATCACGTCAAATCAACTCCTATTCTCACCAAATTCGGCAGACAAGTCACACATACTATAGTGGACCTAAACCGGGCTCCAGAACCAAAATACGGACCTTGTGTCAATAAATCCAAAATTAGTAAATTCTTAAAAGTCATTAAGCTTTCAAACTTTTAATTTTTCATCAAAATTCCATATCTCGGGCTAGTGACCTCGAAATTCGATTCCGGGCATACGACCAGGTCCTAAATCACGATACGGACCTATCGAAGCTGTCAAAACACTGATCCGAGTCAGTTTTCTCAAAATGTTGACCAAAGTCATCTCAATTGAGTTTTAAAGCTCTATTTCACATTTTAATCCATTTTTCACATAAAAACTTTCAGAAAAATTGTACGAACTGCGCACGCAAAGTCGAGGATTGATAATTAGTGCTTTTCGAGGTCTTAGAATACATAATTAATAATTAAATTTAAAGATGTCATTTTGGGTCATCACATTCTCCACCTCTAAAACAAGCGTTCGTCCTCGAACGAAGTTAAAAAAAAGAATCTGAGCTGGTGAATAAGTGTGGATATTTACTCTGCATGTCCGACTCGGACTCCCAGGTAGATGCCTCTACCGACTGAC